CATCGCAATATTATATTGTTCTGATTCCAGTAAATATACGTCAATAATCTCGCGGGAGACACCTGTTGATATCGTCTGCGTTCTGAAGTCTCAAGCGAGGGACGAAAGTTCGGACACGGATACCTTCACCCATTGCAGCTTGAGAGCGGGGTGGGAATCGTCGATTCGAGTGCTCTGCACCCGGATTCTCCGCAGTTCGAAGCGCTTGCAGTCCTGAACTGCGGCACGCTGACGTCCGATCGCATTCGGAAGATATTCAGCGCTCCGTTCAGAACGACCGTCCATAATCGAAACAGAATGAGGACTAAGCTCATCAGAACTTTAGACGTCTGATGAAGCAAAACGAATTCAGAATTTTTTGTCGCTTGAAAACTGACAGCGGCGTGGTTTGATGGATAATTCCGCGCATTTTTTCGCTTCTGTCTCAATGCTCCACATATGTTTGAAAGGCTAGATGCATTTACTCCCGGCTGCTCCCCACTCACTCTCACGCTAGCGGCTCGACTGGCTTGCGGCCTGTCTCGCTGTACCCTCGGTTTCGGCGAGGTTATTATCGAAACGAATCGAATCCAAATGACGCAGATGAATTGAGCGGAAGATTTTCATTTAGGGCCAATTAATTACGATCGCGATTTCAATTTCATTTTGAACGAATTCCGCCCCGAATGCTTCTGCCCTGCGACGACGGAGACGACAAATTCCCTCGAAGCGACCATCGCGGTCCGGGCTGATGCAGGAGAACGACGGCGAGCGGGAGCAGAAGGAGGAGGAGCAGAAGTCTAAATTCCTCGTATCACGCAAGATGCGCATCACTCTCCTCGAGAACGACGTTCCGTTTGTCCGGTTGAGTGTTCATTCGCTTGTCGGTGAGCGCGGCCGCCATGCGTTCGCTGTCCGTCAGTCTATTCATTCATTTCGTTCATCATCGTATCTGTGATGAACTCTTCCTCCCCCCCCCCTCGATGCTCTGTCTGCGGCTTCGATTGCCCCTCATGATCTCGTTCCCCTGTCGGAGCCCGGATTCCCTCCGAATGTCATTTCTCGGTAATGGAAAGAATTCCAACGATGAGCTCTCGTCTCGGTCGGGGGATTTGTTTTCGACCCACCCATCGATTCCTTGTTGCTCCTTCCTTCTATCGAGTGTGCTCCCGCGTTCACTTGCTATATCCCCCGTCGGAGAGACCTTGCTCGATCAGAACTCGCGATGGGGAGCCGGTCTCCGTCCGGAAGATTCCGGAGTTCACGTCTTCCGGCGAGCCGTTACCCCGAGGACTGGATTCGCTCCAATCTTACAAAGATATGCTGGTCGTCGCTCTGGTGATAATTATGGTGTCGATGACGTCGACAATGAAGAGACCATGGTGTCGATTTTCTGGTGTTTTCGGCGAATGCGTTCAATGTTTGCAAGCTCCGCCTCCGTGATCACGATCGTGCCCCTTCCTCTATATCCTTTTCGCTGTTACCTATTTGTTCGCTCATTGTGAGTAAGCGCGTTTGTGAGAAAAATGGAAACGGGGTGCGAGAGGCAGCAAGAGCGTGAGTTGCTCTACTCAGTTTCCATCGGTCAGCCTTTCGCTCGGTTGCCTGGTCGGTCGGTCAAACCGACAGACTTTTCGTCGATCGCTCCGTCGGTCGGTCCGTGGCCGACTGAATAGGCAGGCCGCTGGCAGCTTAACTACATCTAAATATCCTTCACTTTGGGGGTAATTTATATTAAATAAATAGCGGCCGTATTTCTTTTACGCGTGCTTGTGTGAGCGAGCGGGAGCGTCTGTTTGTATTCGCCTCTGATTGGCGCCGTACGTACAAATGTCGACGAGAAGCATCGTCAGAGCGAGGCAGCAACAGACAAGTCGACGACTACGACGGCGGCGACGATGGGAAGGAGAACAGACGCACGGGTACGGCACCCAAAGCGACTGCGGACCTTCTTAGGGAGACAAACAACGTTTAAATCATCGGAAATTCTGCTCCATTTTGGCCAAATTTCCACTAACTGCCCCCTATTATTTGATGCGATAATCGCTCCGTATAGCGTGGAGTGTCTGTCTGAAGCGCTGTTTACAGACATACGTTCGCATTCGGTGAGCGGCACACGAACCTGCAAAGGTAACGTGCGGCGCTGGATGTGACCATTGGTGGAACGAATAGGGGAAGCGCGGCTGGCCGGTACTCGGAAGCGGCGCTCGACCATTTTGCGACGGCCGAGGTTCTGGAAAGAATGAGGAATCAGAGTGATCTCCATGGGTTTCCAGGCTCGGGCCATCAATTGGGTTCTCCGCAGGCTGCTTCAATTCGCGAGCGAATTATTGACAACGGAACCACCTGCGAGGTTCAACGGGAGGAAACATCAGATTTTTCGGAGCTTTGGTCTCTCTGAGAGCGTCGATGGAGTTTCAATCTGTTTTCCTGGTGTGCGATACTCCTCCACCGTCAATACAGCTGGGTACGTCAACCCCCGTTTCGATGCGCCCAGATAGCGTTCTGGGATGTTCCCGAACAGCTCCAGCTTTCGATTGGATTTTACCTTGAATTTTCCTCCTGAAGAAAATAAGGCAGATGGACAGCGAGCTCTGACACTTCATTCTAGGCACGAGATATCCTTGCGACATATCTTCTTCATTCTCTATTGCTCAACGTCTTTCCCGATTCTACATCTCAGGGAAAGGTTTCGTAGCTGGATTTTGCTGCCCCCCCCCTTTGAGTGCCTGATGTCTGGCCGGGTAAATACTCGATTTCAGCTCGGGGCTGCCCTTGGTCCATCTTGATTCTCGGAGCTCAACTCAATTATTGTGACTTTCATTTTCAGGGTGAGCCTCGCTTAGACGATCACGCGATGAAACATGAGAGCCCACCGCAAGATCTCGTCGCGCCAACCGAGGGGAACGCTCTTACTACACTCGTCCGAGATGGAAATAATGTTCTTTTTAATAATAATTGTTGAATTATCGCATGTGATCGAGAGTCAGGACGTAAGGCGTTAGCAACTCCCTTCGCGACAAGAAGTTCACGTGAGCGGGTTCTGTGACGTCCACGGGACTCGTAGGCTATCGAATCGACCCCAGCGTCTGCATGACGATGCACTAAACGAGAACGGAGAGCCGTTCACTTTTATGGCTTAATTGGCTGAATCGTGATTACGGGATTCCGTCGATTTGTTCTGCTATTAGTCAGCTGGACCGCAGAAGACAAACGATAGAACGATTTGTACTGGCAGAAATCGGACCTCGCTGTGGGTTTTTCGGAAACAGTATCAGAACAGAATTATTGTGAGGGAGCGATTTCCTCTGCGATTCCAAGTTGTGAAACTTCCTCTTCCAGAGAATTCTGTGCGGAAAAATCAGAAAACCTACCACGCAGTTGCCGATGAACGGAAAACTGCAAGTTCTGCTCCAGACTCGCAGCTTCTCCCTAGGCGATAGCAATTCGAGGACCCTCGAGGTCGATGTCGGATCCGGGATAAAAACACGGGCGAGAATCGGGAAATCAGGCGATACCGTCTCCCCGGTACCGTCTCGTTCTAATTCTGAACTCGCTCGCTTGGCTTTACCTATGTAGCTTTGTTTCTACGGTCGTTGTCTCTTCGCTAATCGCTTGTTCGGCTGGCCCGATTCGGTCGTCTGCCTGCTCGGCGCGCCGCCGTCACCACCACCCAAGGCTCCTCATTGAGGTACTAACTGTAATTACAACAAGAAAAGGGAACGAATGAACGAAGCGACCGACCGTCGAGCGAACGGTCAAGTAGACGAAGACGTCGAAGCCAACCGATCGAAGGGCGGGCGGAGAAGCCATACGACGAATGGTCTTCTCCGCGTCAAACTCTTCCCCGGAGGAGACGCGAGAGTGGATTAGTCGAATCATTCTGGAGCTCATATACCCTGGAGTCGGCTTTATCCCTATGAATCGAAATCGTCGCTATAAGCTGAACATATTCGAATATCCTGCATTGAAGGAGGGTGAAGCTTTCTGGGAATGCAATCCAGCCGGAACCTGCGTCGTCACCAGTCAAGACCACGGGAAAGCTTTACTAACAGCTCGGTACATCCAATAGAGATAGGCGAGATCGCCACGGAGCTCCACTGGAGATGAGCTGTCTCGATTAGAAACCCGAAAACGGAACCCCACGTCGGAGATTCCCATTCAAGCTCTCGATCGTTGATGCTCCTATCCGTCCTGCGCATGGGGTGATTTGAGTCGATGCGGAAAGAGTCGGAGGCACGTTCTTGCTGAAAACATCTTTCCGATAATGCGCACAGCTACCGGAGAGCCTGTCCGGCAGAACGTCGACGTCACACGTCTTGAGTGTGAAGCACAATTTCATTTCTTTGTCTCTTCTGAACGTGAGATCTTTCTTCAGACCGTCGGTTCCAGCGCTAAGCCGACGTGCTTCGCGGTCGTTAGTCGCCGATTGCCGCGAGAAAGCGAGAATCTCATGAAAGAAACAACACGTGTTTAAATTACGTAGAAACTTCATTTGCATCATGTATCTTCTTTTACAGCCAGGCAGAGGAACGCTCGTACAAAAATACAATCGAGCCCTGAGGCGATCATGTGAACTTGGAATACCGTAAAATCATAACGCTAGAGGACTTGCTGACAAATCTCCGGCAACAATCTTACACACTCGTCCTTCTCCGATGTTTAAATTAGATTACTCCCTTAGACGGCTACGGTGTATGTTCCCCCTGTGGGAGGGGTCTATTGGCTCCGCACACGCGGTAATACTTTGATATTTATCATCACCATTTTCCCACAACTTCGAAGGAATTTTCCTACCTACTCAAGAGAATACTCATCTTCTCCAAGTCATGAATTACGCACTAGGCGCTGGCTATACAAATCGGACAGTCTCGACATTTGATCATCTCTAACACTTGATGAGGCACTCTCGAGCAGACACTTCCGGAAATCCGCAGTTGTCCCCATGATATAATTCATAATCACCGTCGAAAATTTCTGCCTCAATGAATGTCCCAGACCCTAGACGACAATCGAATGGGCTAGTCCGAATTATCGCTGAGTCTCCGTAGCTCTTCCTCGTGCTCGCGGGCTTTGGATCGGAGGATGTCGATACTGGATTGATTGTCATCTTTGCTGTCATCGAAGCTCGGAGCTTCTTTCGGTTCGACCTTTACGGGCGACCTCGAGCGTGAGGAACACGACTTCGTCGAGGCAGCTGGCGAGGGACTTCGGCTTTTGTCCTCGACCTTACCCTGAGCTGCCATGGCAGCCTGCAGCCACGCTTGCAGGTGGTTCGCGTAGGGACTGCTGAGGGCCGGCGGCAAGAATGGGTTGAATTGAGGAAGACCGGGCAACATGGCAGGCAAACCGGGAGGCAATGTCATGCCGGGCAGCATTAGCGACGCGGCCGGGCTCGGTGCGCCTCCGGGAGCTGTGCCGTACTGGAGCCTTTCGGTCGCTTGTTTCCGACCGTAAATGGACGCGAACGCCGCTGCAGCAGCTACAGATGGCTGGGCCGCCGCTACGGCCGCGGCGGCTACAGCTGCAGGGCCGGATTGTGTCGATCCCTCAGAGGACGTCGTCGACGGAGGCAAACTTTGCGGAGACGAATAGGGATTGAAGCCCGCACCGGGGTTCGGGTTGCCGTTGGCTTTCTCTTGCTTGCGCCATTTTGCGCGTCGGTTCTGGAACCAGACCTGCGGAAGAAGGAAGGGAGAAACTTTTAGCGAATCTGCTCGGAGGGTCAATCCCGATTGGCCTCGTCGGCCTCGGGTGCCATCGAAGGCATTCCTGGTGATTCTCAAGCGAATCCGCGGAGGCGTCGGTGCGGGTGCGATAGACGTTCCGGCGGGAGGTTTGCGAGATGATTGTAGGCTTCGATGGACATGTAGTCGGCATGCTGTCCGACGACTTTTACGCGATTGAGGGAGTTTATACGACTGAGTGAGTATGTGTGGCTACGAGTGTGTCTGGCTGTGTGCGCGAGCGAGGGAGCACGGGAGGCAGCGGGGGCTACTTCCATTCAAATAATTGAAGGAGATCAAAGATTCAAGTGACTTAAGAATCCAGTGGACCGACGGAGCGAAGAAGGCTCGCTCTGTTGGGAGGCCTCGACTCGCTGCCAGGCCGACGAGCATGTAGAGTGGCAGGCAGCTAAGCAACTAGTCCTGCCGAGTGAGCGAGCGAGCGGCAGACAAACCCGCTAAAAACGTGGCGACGACTCAAAACGATTTTTTGCCCCGAGGACGACCGGTGGTTACCACTTCGCTTCAAAATTCCACGATTCCATTCGTCCGCACATCCTCGCACGCCTCTCATTCGGCGAACGTCTTGTCGTTCGACGCAAGGACGACGCTACTCCATGAGCAGCGTTCGTCCAAAAAACGCTGACAACGATGACATCAACCAAAACGGTACCGACGGCGGCTACGGCGACTTCAACAAGAGCCGTGATGGCGGCAAAGCGCGCCGAGAATCCAACCTGTGCGTCAAGCCGACCCGGGACCCATCTCGAAACGGTATTTTATCATCAGACAGTCCGAACTCGAACCACCTGAGGGACTCGGCCACCTTGCGCGAAAACCCCTCGCTCGGCTCGACAGACTGCTGTTCTGGATCATCGCTCAGAATCTTTCCGTAGGTCTCCGAATTCGGACTCGGCCGTCAATGAGCTCTGAATGCACGCCAACAAACATGGAGTTCTGTGTGATAACCAACCCCGGGCTCAATCGAGTTCTCGAGAGCCCGAAATTATCCCAGGCGCCTTGGCATTACGGTGTAGTATTCCGGAGCCGTCACGTCCGAGGGAATATCCTGAGAGCGTCAGCTCAAAAGTTGTTTATACAACTGCACAGATTTGATTCGACTCGCTCTACGATGCGAAGCGTTCCAGACCTCAATGTCTGTAAAGCCGTCGACTTCCCCACCGTTCCCTGCTCCTCGAGCTTCATCAGGTGTTTTCGAATACAGACTGAGGAGCAACGAAGAAATTTAACCAAAACCGGAATTGAGCTCAGCGAGGAAATTAGCTTGAGATAACATCTCTCAATGAAGCAATTTGACCGATTCTCCCTTCTTCTTCCCGTAGTAGGTCCGCCGTGTTTGAGACAATTATTATTACAAACTTAGGGATGAACACAGAACTCTTGAAGCTGTTGCGTTAAGCCACTCGTTTTGTAAGTTTCGTCTCTTTTATTAGCGATGACGCTCTTCACCGCTGCGATGCTCAACACCGTCGAACAGACCTACCGACCAACCGACCGACTGCCTGAGTGAGTACCCCAGGACCCGTCGGAGCTCTCGGGAACGGATCCAAGCCGACAGCCGCCTATTGAAGGGCTAATGACTCGACGACACTCACTCGAGACGTGGAACCGGCAAGAATTCAGAATTACACCGTAATAAAAGGTAGGAGATTAGGTCTGTTAGCGCCCTACACTGCGTTCTCTGGCTTTTGTCGTTTCGCTTGGCGGTCTATCGGTCTATTTCACTCAGCAAAAAACTTATTCGGCTGCCTCATGGTCGTATGCAATTGTAGCTTCATATTGATCTCCGACTGCAGTTTCTGCCTGGCGGGAGGCTGAGCTCTCGGTATGCCTCTAAATATCCTCACCGAGGGTACGCGGCGATCACCACAGCAAAACGACGTGTGAGCATCAATTTCACTATTCATCAGCCGAGCATTTTGACCGACACCTCTCTTAGAAGCGACCTTTTTTCTCTTCTCGTGGAGAAGCCGAAAGTCGAGCGGATCGACCCTCTGCGCGACGCCTATTACGGCTGACGCCGCTGCTTGTCACTGCGTATGTTGCTTTCTGTCTACTAATGGTCATTCCAGACGATTGTTGCTTCCCTGTCGATCACGAAAGGACGATGTAGACGCCAATCGAGGCATGTTGAATAGTCACGTTCTCCGGGAAGATGATTGACACCCGTCATTGATAAGTTTGTCACTGATTCATCGAAAATGGAGACCCAGTTGCATCTACGGCATTCTGTTCTGTCACTGGATATTATAGATCGGGCGAATGGTCTTCAGGCACTCTGGAGCTGTGTCTTTGGGCGGGGGAACCGTTGGAAACCGTGCGAAAAGGCTAAATGACTCGATGGCAGAGGGATCATGGAGACAACTCAACCACAGAGCTCAACTCCGGATGATCCAGTCTCTGGAGGAATTGAGTGTGGTTGCCAAATCGGATTTAGCGATAGTAACTTGAACATGAACCTTTCTCAGCATGGACGAAGCTCTTTTGAAGAGTTCATGAGTCGAGAAATGAAAACTCCGTCACAATTCGAGCTATCCCACGTGTCATAACGAGTGAAGTCTGTCAATCGCGTCAAATTCTCGCCAAAAAAAAACACAGAAATCGCTCATGAAGTCTTAATTGAAGCCAGGCCGCTTCTGTCGCCGGCCGCCCCGTCGGCCGAGAGACCGAGACACCCGACGGACGAAAGAACGAAATTATTGACGACACTCGATTGCCGGCTCGAATTTCGCACTTTTCTCCCTGTTTTGGTCTTCTTCGACTCGTACTTCTCACTCACCCGGTTGGCAAATGAACGGGGGCTCGAATTTAAATTACAGAGTTGACTTGTCGTTCTCAAAGCGTTCGCTGCAGCTGTCCGACAAGCGGAGAACAGTCGTCGAACGGAACGTTTCATGCTTTCGGATACGGTGCGGTCGCCGTTGAAATCATAATTGCATCCATCGGCTCCTCGAGTTCTGCTCATCGTGGCGCAGAGGATCCACAGCAAGTTGTTCAACTCCTCCGACGAAAGGCCGCCCGCCTCCATGCCGAATGCGACAGAATCAATCGCGGGAGTAACTCGGAAAAGCCGAGGCCATCAGCCCGGAGAAATTATGTGAACCCTGGATCTCGGTGGTGCACTTTACGGTCTTCCTTCTTGTTCCGTTGCGCTTCAACGCCTCGGTTTCACGGCACTGGGATTCGGTTCTGCACCGAACATCTGGAGCACCCGAAACATCGGTCTGGCCAGCATACCTCCGTCCGAGATTCAGAAATGATTTTTAAGCGACCTGCGATTCAAGTACCTCATCGTCGTTGGCGGCGTCTGCTGTCCTGAGCGTGAATATCCGCGCTCATTCGGGCTCATTTTGACAGATAACTCGGAATCCGTCCTAACGTTCGACTTTTAGCAAAAAAAGGCTGAACGCGTCATGTCGAGGTGTTTCTGAGATGGAGTACGAGACCGACAATCAAGACATCATCTCAGCCTCCCCGTCGTTTTAAACAGGTGTCACAAAAGTGAAACAAATTGGGACGGCCTAGCGACGGAACTTACTTTAAGATCGGTTGCCGGCGCAACAACGACGACAATCAAGAAATGTTGGAAAAAACACAACCAACACCGCTCGAGCTGGCGCGAATATGCCGCCCAGCTCGCGTTCACTCCATCACAATTCTTTCAAGTGGATTGTTGTCAAACTACGGCGAGCAGCAGAAACAGAGCAGACCTGAGCGAGTTGATGGCTTAATTTCTTTTTCTCACTCTTTTCCTCTCTCATAGACGAAACTGACCAACCTGCCAACTGGCATCCGCTGCGAACGAAGCGCGGTCATCGGCTCTGGCGCCGCGTAAACTTAACCGAGCTCGGGCTGGTCCGAGAGCTCGTTACAGTCTTCTCTGAGAAATCCTCCATCGAATTTGAAACATGATCTCCGATCTAAATTCAGCCTGTCCCCAGACTTCGACCATCCGATCGGGAGTTTACTTGCAGGGGGAACAGATGGCAGGAGCGTCAGCTCGTTTTCCAACGATGCTCGAAAGTTCACAAGTGAAAAAAGGACTCGGTCTGCCCGAAACCACGACGAGCGTTGACTGTATTCGGAGGAATCATTCCGATTGCCCTTCATCGGCGCCGAATGAGCGTTGGTGGAAGGCAGGAGCTAGCTCCTCCGTTCGTTCGTCTGTTCGTCTCTGCGTCCCCCTTCGATGCCTACGGCTTGTCTAAAAAAGGCGCGAGGCGTCGACAGCAATTAGCTTTGTTACTTATAGCGGCTATTTCTGGCTGCTGTAATGCGATTTTGTTCAGGATAATTGTTTGTTAAAAACAAGAATAAAAAAATGACAGACGGACGGAAGACTCCGACAGAAATGCGAGAAGGGAAACTTCGAATGAGCGGTCGGCTCATTAATGTGGTTACTGCTCTTCACTCCCAGATCCATGACGTCATCCGGTGGGTCCGTCAGTTTCTCGATCGGTTCGTTGGTCTGCAGCTACTTCAATCTTAATGAGATGGAAAATTGTCAGAAAAATATGAGCATTCCAGACGAGAACTCAAATGAGACTGCGAGACGGCGATCCAAAGAGTAGACGGCATCCGGTGGCGCCAAGCCTCCACCGGGAGCCACTACGTCTCTTACTGACAGTCATTCCCCCGAGCTGCCGAACGCTCGAGCTCCATCGAACTTCAGAAGTTCGGAAGTCCAATGGGATAATAAGGTATCGCAATATCGATCGTGAGCTTCTGGAGGCACCGTGTCCGTCAAGGGCTGCCACTACCCGTTTCCGTTGCCTATTCCTACCATCGCATCGGTGTCGGTCTGTTCGGATATGATGGATGAGCGGCGGGGGCTTTTTGAGAGCTTATCTCCCCGACGTTCCTCTTAAGAAGCCACTCGTTGTATGAGTTCGCGCATTTGTGATTTTCGCTTGTGTTTGGTCTTTACCCGTCCACCTCTCCGCGCTTTTTCAGGGCAAGCGAGCGAGATTGCCAAATCTTCCCGCAAGGGTCTTAAGCCGTGATTGAGAGCGACGAATCTAATCGATACGCTGGATGGAGGGACGTGTCTCAGCCGCAAGGAGTCGCCGATCGAGAGTTCCGGTAGGAAACAACGGGAAGACCACTCTCACGCTGCTGTTTCGATGGGAATACGGTGGGAAAAGCCCCTCCCTCGAGTCACATGCGAATTAAGTGGAGAGGATCGATTGAACAGAGTGATTTTGGAATTAGGGAACTTACTTGGACACGAGCTTCGGTGAGGTCGACACGCATCGCCAGTTCTTCCCTGGAAAATCAAAGTATTAGGATTTGATATGGATGCTGCCGCTCCATTCAGAGTCTCTGTATGCCCCTCGGGTAAATCCGGGTATTGATTTATCACAAGATTTCAATTTATTCATTATCTCTATTATTCAGACCCTCAAAGTTTCGACGCAGCGATCTCAATCTCCCGTTCCGCCCGTCATCCGACTACGTATCGTGGCTACGATGCGGATGGACGTATCGATAGATTACAGCCGCATGGCCTTCATAGAAGTTGATGCTTAGAGGAGAAATACCCGGTTCCATTACGGCGTTGCATCGAGCTTTTCCACTGAGTGAGGAGCGAACGCAGACGAGAATGGCGACCGCTAACTCAGTATGCTCGAGCCGTAATTACTGCTCGATATTTACCGCCAGCCCAGCTGCTGATATTCGGCTAAACTTGAGCATATCGACAAGGAAACATCGATACTGCCTTCACTCCAAGACGTCTTCCGTCGACAGAATGCTCCCTCGGCGAAAAGGTTATGCTCAACTCATTGCCTGATCCTCCTGGATATTTTCTCTTCGACGATGTCTTCCCCCGGCTTCATTCAAGAGTTGCCCCAGCGAGAACCGGCATCGTACGTTTCGCTTTGCCCATTACAGGAGGCCGATGCGGAAATGGTGGATTTCTGTATTAGCGTCTTTAGTTTGCCCTTCGTATTCATCCCGGAGAAAAATAGTGCACTCGGTGGGTGGTTGGGTCTACTCGGCGAGACGATCGACCCACCGACCGACCGGCCGACCAACGGATCGATGTATCGACTGCCAACTTGTTCCGCTTTTTGGCTGTCGTCAATTTGTCGATCGTGATATTTGCTTAAGTAATTTGGGCTGCCGTACTTTAAGTGGATTATCCGTTTTCAGATGATTTTGTACAATTACTTGAAATTACATCAAGCGCTGCCTCCGCGTCTGGGAAGGAGTGCCCCCGTCTAGCCGTCGTCGCTCACTTATCTCTCCGCTTGGTGGTACCTAGTGGGTTTGTTCAGCGGATTTTCTTCTCCTCCTTTTTTCTGCTGCCATCATGGCAATTTCTCATGTTCTCGAATGAGTTCCTCGGGCGACCTTATGGCGCAAGCGAGATCCTCAGAAAATACATATAGTTGTGCTTCATAAACGATTTCCTCATATATTTGCCTGAATTGGTGGTGTAGAATTGGATTACGCCTGGACGGTCCTGCTCCTGTCATATGGCGTATCTCGAACGAGAGCGGACTGTCCGGTGGGCTGATGTTGACAGAGACCTTTGAATAGAGCGTCAAAGAAACGCCAAATGCTCTCGCACTGCCGAAGTGATTCTCCACGGTGGAGATATGTTGTTGTTTACAAAAACGCTTCCGTTGACGCCTCGCCACGCGAGCACAAAGGCCTCGAAGGGCGTGCGAATGCCCCACTCGCCGGTCAGAAGCGGCGAAAGACAGAGAGCGCAATCACAATAATGAGTTTAATACGAGGAGCTCGACGACCGTCGGAAATGAAAAGAAACCTCTGAACGTTGCCACCAACAAAACCGTTTAGACATTTAAGCGTTGGCCGTCTCGACGAGGGCGGTTCTTCTTCCTCGCGGACGCATTGCCTCTTGACACAATGCAGCGGCTTCCTACGTCACCGACGACGACTCCATTCGGCCGCAAACAACGATTTCAGACAGCAACTCTGGACCAGTAGCCGCTGCCAGCACGTATGCTGAAGTATTCGCTGAGCATGGTCAAGCGTTCGCGAGCAAAAAAAAGTCATTTTCGAAACCTTAACGTATCTTCTCAACTCAATACGGGGTCGAAATGTTCTTTCCGCCGTGAACTGGCTCCGTGCTGGTCATCTTTGTCGTCGACGTTTTCTCCGTAAATAAATAGTAAAAACGCCTTTGTCTGTCCGACTGACCGAGCGACCGAATAAGTGAGCCTGGATAGATGAATGCATAGATGAATCGTCTTCATTCGCTCATTCCGACTGAATGGACTAAGAGAGACGATGCTGTCCGGCTCTGGAGTTACGACCGTTCATTCGCTTAGATCGTCGGCCGGGAGCTTATTCATGAATTGCCGCGATAAAATTTCTCTGCTATATGCGTCTCAGCTCACGAAGCGACTAGTGTTTCGAATCCGGGACTTCGAATGCGTAACAAAGATCTTCAGGGATGGATCGAAACAGTTTCCCCTCCCTGCGGTCAAGACGACCCTATCGTATGAGCCGCGACCGAAGCTGCAGTTGCTCAAGTTCATTTTCTCGTCCGACCCTCGGGCGAATCCCTCACCAAGCATCGGCAGCCAGGAGAAGCCGACGAGGCGTTAACAAAAAGGAAGAGGAAAAACTTTCAAATCAATTACCGTAGTCACTTGTTGCTTGAGGTCTGTCGGCTTGCATTAGGTGACGACACGGCTCTCCGAGCTACTTCGTAGCACACTGACTGTGACGATTACAGCAGGACGCAGGATTTGATTCCAGCGACCAGGATGTCCTGTCCTCTCATAGGAACAGCAGAGAAACATGAGATCAGAATGATTGGCTGAAGTCGCCACCGAATCCAACCCGGTGCTCCAGAGGACTACTGGCCCTTGGATGAATTCGCTATGCTGAGCAGAGAATAATGGACCCACACAGAATTTATAATCGAGAGATAAACGATCTAATTGAATACATCAGATCGATGACCCACGGGTATCGCACGATAGTCCTGACGGGTTCCTCATTTGCATCCGCGCGAGATTCCACGGGTGTGGCTCTCGGGAAAGTGATTAGGCGGCAGCGCAACGGCGTGCTGCTTCATGAGCGGAACGTGCGAGTTTCGTAAAACTCTTCGTAGTAACCACCGGAAATCGAGAATATGATTCGCCTTAACGACCAGAAAATTGCCAGGGGCGAGGGATGGAGCCTCAAGACTCGAGCTTCCAGGATCCGTCACAGCAGTGTGGATTTCGAAAGAATCGCTAACTGAAGGAACTAAAAAATTGTCTTGATTCAGAGAAACAGCGCTTGAAAGAAACAACTCAATGCAGGCGGCAAGTTCTGACGGAGAGGCGCATCAATGGTTTAAAATCGCGCTTCGTATTAAGGAATCTGACTGACACCCTTGTAATAGAATCCTCTGACAACAAAATTACCCTGTATTGAAACACGTAGAGCAGCGCCGGTTCAGCGGCATCGCTATGATCAGAACGGTCGTCATCATCGTAGTTGACGTCGTCGTCCTCCTGCTCCGTCCACTCGTCTATCCATCTTCTACTTGGCTATTCATCTGTCCTTTCGTACGGCATCGTTCTATTCGTTTATGCCGGACAATCGCATGCTCGAACATTTTTGCTGCTGAAACTGTACAAACAACAACCGCTACAAGCAACTTCGGCGCCGATACCGGATTCGACAGCAGCGCAACAAGAGATCTGAAGAGGAAATGCCGCGAGGATGATTAAAATCCGGTGGTATCGGTGGCCAGACGAGGCGAGAGAAGAAATCGTCCTTTGAGCGTGGTTTTTCTCGGGAAGCATTTCTCCTCACTCACAAAAATCGTCAGGGAATCTCCGAGCCGAAAAAGCCTTTCCGTCCGTAGACTGAACGCAATAATTATTCGTTTTCCAAAAAATCATTGAGGAATTTCGCGGTACGGATCGAACGAGAGTGATTGACTCTCGAAGATCAACGATCAACCGGGTTTATGCACGTTGAGATGAAACATATTTCTGCACAGAATTTCGAAACGAAACCGAGAGCACCAGATGAAGGGAGGCATTCTCTGGAGAATTCAGTCGCTAGCTCTGGAAAACCATGACTTCAGTCAGCGCTCGGGAAACGTCTCGTCAGCACTCTATGCATTAAGCTTATTGCGCATTAATGGGCGCGAGTGAGAGCAGCGCTTCGCTGTAATGACGAGCACGTCATCAAACTCCCTACTTTATTATCTGGTGTAATTGTCATAGTGATTTCAGTTTCTTTCCAGAATAATTATTCCAGTTCTCAGTTCTCAACGACTTTGGCAATTAAACCTTTCGCGCGTAGTTGACTCGACTTCGAGCTCTCATGGTGATCCAGTAAATCACGGAACCCTCTGCACACTTTTGGGACGATTGTGGTTCCATCGCTCACTAATACGATTAGGCAGAAAAAAAATTTACCTATTAAGAACGGAACGCGAGATTTCCCTCAGAATGCCTCCTGGATCCAGGGATCTGAGTCCCGCTCCTGTGATGCTCCCCACGTTTTCGGGCCATATGTCGCGAAAATGCAGAGATCAAACCACCTATGCGGAGTGGCATACGAAAGCGAAATCCGCGTTTCCCCCAGCGGGTTCGAGGCACCCTTGTTCCTCGCAAACGCCGGATAAACGTCCGGATGGAAACAAATCAGAATGCAGACTGACAGCTGGGTGCGCACGCGGCTAGGATCATCGAATGTCAACTCCGGTGGAGGCAATTACATTCTATTTGCTCTCACGAGCACTGAGTTGATTGTGGGTCTAGGTCCGCGAAGTAACGGTCCCGTAGCAAGGGTCGGGCAGATAAACATCGGCGGTGGGGCGAGCAACCCAGCGAGAAACGACTCGTCGACCTTGTTGATCACTACCTACTTGAGAGGGCTCCGGCCGCGCAAGCTACCGGCCCGCTATTTGGAGTCTTATTCATGGCAATCATGAATACGAACATCAACGACCACTACCGCCGCCGTAGCAGCTGCCCCGGCCACGTTGCTGCAGGGTTCATCGCTGTGGTCGGGCAAGCTGCAAAACTCCTGGCAAGTCGGGATACACGTCCGCCACTAACGAATTCATCAGTGTCCAGCGAGGAGTTTCGCCAGAGACCCGTGCCCATCTCCTGACGCATTGTCCGACAGAATATATTTGGAAAAATGCTTCGACGTTCGCGGCCTGGGTCCGAAAATGTCGTATTTATAGGTCGATACACCCGTGTGGCGGGACTGAGCCAACTCCTCCCGCGGGATTCTTGGAGCTCGAAAGACTAATCATCGCTCAATTCGAATCAACCGGGATCTGTGGCCGGAGACACTCGCAAGTACCCGTACTGACGTGAGATGGGGCGCGGCGCCCGAATCTCGCGAGCTGATATCATGCGTCGATGCCTAGCGAATGGACGCTTCCACTCACCTGGTGAAAACGTCAGGATAGTGCGTTTTTCCGAATGCTTTTTCGAGCTCTTCGAGTTGGTACGAAGTGAACGTGGTCCTGTAGCGGCGCTGCTTTCGCTTGGGGAAATCGTCGAGGATAATTTCGCCACTCGGCGATGTACGAGCGTGTTGGGCTAGGAAAGCTGCCGTGTTCGGACCGACTTTCGGGGGAAGTCCGCTCGTCAGAGTAGACATGAAAGAAGCCAGAGGGTGCGGAAGCGGAGTGTCCATTTCCGTCAACGGCACGGCTGACTTCAGAACCGGCGACCGGTAGTCGAGAGGAGACCCACTGCGCGTGTCTGGGAACAACGGAGCGTGACCGGTTAGAATTCGAGCACACGAAAAGAGCATTCCATCCGAGTTTTCTCGGTATGGTCATTTATTTTCCTCGGGTTCGAATTGAGATCTGTCCAGCTCGGCATAAATTCAATTGTGAGAACCGAGTGATCCTCGGAGCTCTCCGCGCGGATTCCCTTTCCCGGCAGAATCTTAAGCGAATGCTATACACTCTGCTTCAAGATCTCCATGATTTTATCAATGACGTCTCGGATCATCTGATTTTATACCTTTTTGCGGGGAATCCTCCCACGGTCGTCGGTTGACGATGGTCTTCGTGGTTGGAGTTTCCTGAGATGAGGACGAAATTGGGCTATGGACCATCATTGATAGACGGCCTACAACAGAACTTGATGAACAACCGAAGTCAATGACAACGCACTTGAGAGACCACCCAATCAATCCTCGAGTAGCAGCACGAGCACCACAGTTCACTTGTTGTGATTCGTCAACTTCGACGCACTGTCCACCATCCAGCGCTTTCACAGAAGCTCCGCAGGCGGCTCGCAGACGCTCCGCTCACCAGAACCGACGAAGTTCAACTGAAGACCAACCGAAGACCGGCGGCGGCTCTTCGGGCGCTTACGCCGAAGAGGCGGAGCAACCAAAGTCTCCTCCCGTCAGGCATCTGGTGCAGAGCGGCGACTGGTACAGAGCGTTCGGTGAAAATAATGGAATTACCTATCAGAGTGGTGTCGTCTCGACGTGGAGCTCCTGGCTGAATTCATTAGGAACTGGTATCGTTGCTCGCGCTTCGAATTACTTCGTGGTGTTGAGGAAGATGTGGAACCGCCTTGCTTCGCCTGAAAGTAGGATCGAGGCTCCTCCTGGGGAACCCTGACGAAAATACCACATCATGTAAATCAAGTTTCTGAGGGAAATGCTAGCGGAGTCAAGTTCGAGGAATGAAGTTCGAGCAGCGGAGCTCAATCGGCCAAGGTCCAGATAGACTCAGGGCATCAATCCTGATTACTTCCGGAAGGAACAAACTCTTCCAGATATCATCGAATATTTTCATCAATGTTGAAAAGACATCGTGAAGTTTTACACTTCAATTAGGTCATTGCTCCGTCAGAGGCGATAGTCGAGCGACCAGGGGTAGTATCGGTTAGACACACCCTCCTTTTCGGAACGATTCGAAGTGACACGACGCGACGCTGCGATCAGAACGTCGAGTCACTGACTTTATGACTTCGTTTGGAATGGGTGCGTCCGAGATTCTCAAAAGTTCCACATCAAACAAAGGAAGCAAAACAATGGCGAATGAAACAATCCCCTCCGACACTCTATTCAATAAATAATCCGGAAAAGGAGTAGGTCATTCGACCGAGGTGCCGAGCGAGCTCGGCATCGCAGCATCTCATCGCCCACCCATCCCGCCGCCCCAACCAACTTCCATCCGGTGATGGATCTGCAATCGAAAACGAATTTGCCTGATGTTTCGTCAGTCACGCGCTAGGAATGAGCTCGTCTGACTCAGTTACGCTCCCGAGGTTGTTCCGCACTCACTTTGCCGGTCCTCCTGCCTGACGAACGGACGGAGAGACCAGCGCACTGGCTATTGCCAGATCGGTTGCCGGGCCGAACATCTCCATCACTCTTCACACCTCTACACGTGGAAGCATAAGATGCAGTCACCAGGCCCCCATTCGAAGTGAGACCAATCTATCTGAGTCCTACATACGTGCTTAAATACGGCGGTGCGTTCGTTCCTGTGCTCGGGAAAAGAAGGACAACTGACGAACGGCGTTTTTAGACGTTGAAGTAGCGATTCTTAAGTTACTCATTGCTGTAGCCGGGGCTAATTTGAGTTCTGTGGCTCGAACTCTCCGACTGGACTGGCAGAAGCGGCGGCGGCGGCGCCAAGTAAAAATGAGCCAGGCGAACATGACAAATGTATTTATAAAAGCTGTCCGTTCTTGTTTCTGCTCAACTTTGGATGATTATTCACGATCACCGCGTTACCACTCGCTCCCGTGCCCGGCACCAGAGAACTTCAAGGCTTTATGCTAAGATGCGTTCGCCGAAACTCCTCTAATTGTTTGTGGCTTGTATTACATACCACTTGTTCCGAAGACCGACGGAACGAACGAGCAGCCGGCTGGTCAGTCGACCAACCAGCTCGTGGCTGGGCAGCGAATGAGTGAGCGTCAAAAAAACAGATCTTCAGAGAATGCTGAAATTATGTAGAATTACAAAGTAAATCTCCTTCTCAAAATTTGCCGCCGCCTCGCAGCGGTCGGAAGCAGCGGGAGCAGAGGAATCATTCTGAGGAAACAAACCATCCCCGAAGCGACCCGTTTATTCGGCCATCCGGGTAAGTGGCCCATCCGCTTTATTGACTTCTTCGGCCCGAACTCTCCGACCCCGATATTTCCAGCGGGATTTCCAGCCGTTCGAACGACCGTCGAGGCCGCTCGAGGAGCCGATCAGTTGGAAAGGAAGAGATGAGGGCCTGTCGCATTAGGAATGAGCCATGGGCTATTTTTCACTCCATCATTCATTGGTGGAACATTTCGGTCGATTAGCATGAATAGGCAGGCCTTCCCGTTGTCCCTCACGCCCCATGCCCCGGAACAGATATACGGCGCTCTCAGATTGAATCATGGTCCCTATCGTATACGGATCTGCTCATCGGACTAGATACCCGTCGATATGTACGTACTGGGAATGCGACCGCTGAGATAATCGGAGGGTCAGGGCCTCCAATCCTTAGAGCATCGGAGAAGCCATCAACCTCGTGAGATCCACTTCTCGTATTCCGCTTTGTGAGTTCCATGGGGTGAAATTCATTCATTCAATTTCTGAGATTGGCTTCGCGCCACGGGGATGGCTGGGTACTCTGGTTGAGAAACTTTTGTAGCAGGAATCTTGGTTCCGACGCCGCCGTTGCGACGGTGGACTCGCTGCGTTCTTGACGTTCGGAATGCCCACACATCCAGCTTGGGATCTTCGCTTCCACAGAATGCAGGGTACCTAGCTCCCTCCTGTGGTCGACCTCCCTTCGGTTCGATGAAAGGAACCTCACAAGACCTCACCGATCCTGTTTTGAGGGAGAATCACTTGTGTCGGGAGCTAGTCCAGAAGATCATTATAGAGACATGTCCGACGACTCGGCGAGACGAGGGAAAAAGAGCAATTTCTGCACTTACTATGTGCGGTTTTTTCCTTTGACAACTCTCCCCGACTTTTTCCTTTGACGTCCCAAATCATCGCTGAGCTTCTACGGGACAGCGGAAGCTGGTTTATGGGGATCCCTCCCTCCCGATAGCTACGACTAATGAGTTTGCCAGGGTCTCTCGGCGAACTTCCCAACGGCGTCTCGTGCTCTAAGGAGGCACAGTAGGTTCTGGACCTAAGACCATTACGGAACATATGTCCGGAATTCAGGGAGCAGAGAGTTCCTGCGGATCAGATGTAGAGATCGCGTCGCGCGGGCGAAGCCGGTTTCGAAAATCTCGATCAGGCCATCGATCGGGATCTCTTGCCGCAAGTCTAATCAAGATCAGCACTGATGAGCGTGTCACGCCCCAAGACCCCTAACCCATCCGGACAAGAAACCCGTACGAAGTGGTGAACTCTATTTGGCCGATGGAATTCCGAATCAGGTACCGCTACTCTCAGCCCTTGAAATATGATCCCGATAAGTTCCTCACTCCTGGTCCTCAGGAACCTTCCGGCGGAGCCCCTTCCAGCCGGCGACGTCTTTTGCAGCTGTGGACCCCTGGCCCGCCTTATTCAGACGATTCCTGTCCTGAGCATCGCCGCTATACGAGTTTCCACAAGTGAGAATCCCCTGCAATGATCGGGTAGGAATACAACGGGCCCCGACATACCCGGATACCGCGATTCCACCGTTCTCCGTTCCTTCTTTCAGTCCCGAGAGTTCGTTGCTACTCCGTATCGGCCATCACCATTGGTAAGGGCAGATTGTATAAATTCTGTAAATATTGAACAGCCCCGGCAGCAAAGTGATTGTTGTTTGAAGCAAGGCGTCGATGATGACGGGGATGCTTGATCAGAAAACGTGATTAAGTTGGTAGGGTGCTCAATCTTTGGCTACACTTCGAGCTGGCGGAGCCTTCAGCACCTCATACGGACACTCACGTTCATGAAGCCTCTGTCGATCTATACACTAAATAAGCGAATTTGCCTGCAGTCAACAGAAGAAGCGGCGTGTATCTGATGAGCTGATGATGATAGCGGGACCGAGGCGGTGGTGGCGGAAAAGTTTAAAATAAACATGGCAAATTTGTTCACTAGCTCGTCAGTCAGTATCAATCACTGGATCATCCGGTCAACGTAGCTATGCAGAGCCAACCCACCGCCGATCGAGCACTTGGTCAGCGGGCAAAGCCGACAGGGGGACGGACAAGATACCTTTGGTCCTTGAGGAGAAAGAAACGAGAAAATATCATGTCTTTGAAAAAGAGCCGATACCAAGGCTCCTAATCCCGAAAATGAGTGCTTGCGCGAGAGTTGTTCCTCATTTGAAGAATCTTCGTAAGGAACGCCATGGTCCTCTCGATCACCCGACGAGATACTCTTAAGGTGTAGGTGGTATCGGAGATGGCGCAAGGCGAGTTTCAGCGAGACAAGGCCTGAATCTGAGGTTCGAGCCTTGCGTCCGTATCAGGAAAGCACTCGCTTCGAATGACATCGATTACTCTTAAATCCAAAGAGATCCTAGCGAGACCGAATTCTATCTTTGTTTGCGGCTGGTGCCGCAGCTCCGCGTGAGCGGCAGAGTGACATCAATTCAGCCAATTCTAGTCAATTCAAGCCTATTCCCGTGAGTTCCGTTCCTCAAGCCGGCTAGCCGACCGACCGTCCGTTCGTCTGTTCGTTGGTTTCGTCGGCAGAGCCAAAGACCAACGGAGTCGATTATAGTTTGGAGAGCGAACGGCTGCCTCATCTTGTCTTCTAAACGCCATTGCGGAATTGCCGGCTACCTGAGACGAAGACTTGTTGGTCGCTTGGCTGCGGGCGCGCGCGATTGAACACTCTTTTCTCTGGCTTGATTTGCTTCGATAGAGTTAGAGCGACCAAAAAAAGAGAATTTGATCCATTGCGTCTGAAAATTGTGGATGTCTGGATGGATGGATGCACTGACGCACCAAACGACGAAAAAGCCGACCGGTTGCAGCTCGAACGCGGCCGCAGAATTCGTGGCCGGTCACAGCAAAGGTTGTGCAGCCTCGGATCCCTGCGCATTTTTTTCTCTCCCCTCCCACTTTTCCCCGTCGAAAAATAAACCAACGAAATTGGCCGAATTTCATCGGTCTGAGCCATTGGGAAAGGAGCGATGGACGGACGAACGAGCCAGC